TTTACATCTTAAGCTGAAATCAACAGTTTGACACTTAGAAGGATTCAGTCAGACCATTTGCTGACTTCCGATAGAAAGCTATTTATTTTAGTACAATCTAGCTGGGAGTTAACAGCCATTGAAACCGTTAAATCATCAGCATACTTCACAAAGTTTATTTCATCAGAGTGAGGCAAGTCGTGCAAGAAGAAGGAAAAAAGAAAAGGAGAAAGAACGGCACCTTGAGGGACACCAGCTTCAGTAGGCAATGAAGTGAAGGACTTCCCTTTATATACGGTGTACTGCTTTCTATCTGAGAAATAGGAATGCAACCAGTTAACAGCCCAAGGATTTAAGCGAAGGTACAAGACTAAGTAAAAGTAATTTCTCCATAGTTTTCAAAAAAGGAGACGTAATAGCAATGGGTCTAAATTTGACACATGCTCCAGTGGATGATTTAGGTATGGGTACAACTTTAATGTCCTTCCAAACGGCAGGCACAATATTATCGGAAAAAGATTTGTTAAATAGATCAGTAAGAGGGTGACACAGAATATCAGAACATTTTTTAAAAATAATACTAGGTACATAATCGGGACCTAAGCTCTGGGAAGGGTTTAGAGACTTGAGGCACTTTTGAACATCATTTGTGTTAAAACCTGGAAAGGGGCTATTATTAACACAAGTGATGCTGGGAAGCATGGCATTTGAGGGAGAGTAAATAAAAGATTTGTTAAGAGTACATACATCAAAAGAATATGGAATATTGTTTATCTGCTTACCACCAGTGATTTCCTTAAATAGTTTCCACATATTAGAAGGATTTTTGCAGGACATGAATTTCTGGTTATATATTACATTCAACCTCTGCATTTCAGACTTAATTAAGAAGTTAGTTCTTTTTACACCAATTTTATCTTTGATTTTATATAGTTTTTCCTTCTCTCTACGAAGCTTTTTAAGTTGAGGCGAGGAGAAACGGTCAAATTTGACGAATAGTGTTTCTTTTGGACAACAGATTTCAAAACAGAATTTCAGATAGGATGTAATATTAGAGATATTGTCATTAAGTGAATCAACATTAAACAAATCCCATCTTGTGTCACTGAGCATGTTTCTAAGATGATGTACGTTCTCATTTGAGTAGCATCTGTGAACAACTTTCTTAGACAAGTTTGAGAGGGCTTTACTGTGTAACTTTCCGTAAATTTTGGGTAAGACTCGTACAATACAATGATCAGAATTGAAGAGCGGGGCTCTTTTACGAGCTTCGTATATTCCAGAATCATTTACAAATACTAAATCAAGTGAAGTATTTTGTCGAGTTGGGAAATTAACAACATTTGCATGGCCCAGCAATGTAATAAAACTGCAGTCGCTGGAGTTGAAGTCGCCGGTCACTATAGATAAGGAGTTACCAAACGAAGCAGCAGCAAAAATAGTGAATTCATCAGCGAAGATAGATAGTTCTGAGGGACTGCAACAAGGTGTGATATAGATATTTGTGACAAAAATGGAGCTGTACTTAGGTAAGTGTTTAGGTCGACATTTTACAGTTATACAGTCAATATTGTCATTTGAGAATTTGAAGCAGACGTTGTTGGCAGTAGACCACTGAGAATTAATAAAAGTGGCAACACCACCACCTCTCTTCTTCTTTGAGCTGCATCGGTCTTGTCTGTAGATTGTGAACCCACTTAAGGAGACTAAATTGTCGTCATATGAATCATGGAGCCAAGTCTCTTGAAGAGTGATTACACCAGTATTACAATATACATTTGAGTATAATAGAGAATGCAAGTAGTTAATCTTGTTCGATAATGACCTGCAATTTGTGCTCATAATCACAGGAACAGTCATCTGATGCATTGGAGTACACTTTAATGATCTCTGCCAACCTCCATGATGCTTTTTCTTAACGTTATTATATACTCGTAAATCAACGGGTTGAAGACATTTTAAATAATCGCGAGAGTAAGTAATGCGACTTGGATACATAATTGAATGATTAAAACAAAATAAATCCGAGGAAATAGATGCAATATGTAGGATGGAAATTTTGGTAGCCCAAGATTTAAGCAGGCCGCCAGATGTTAGCATTAAGCTTGCTAGCAATTTGAGAAAGAATTAAGAAGCGTTCTACAATTACAAACGAATGCTGCAAAATATATGGATGTGTAGAATCTAGAACACATGTATGTAAGGGTAAAATAATTCGGCTTATTATTGAGCAAAAGAGGTGATTCGGGTATATATATATATAGTTTGTATATATATATATATAGTTTGGTTTATAAGGGTTAGTTTTGTTCTTACGAGTTGATCACGGATTGATATCAGTTAGAGAACCATTGAAAACCAGGGAGTACTGGACAGCTGCTGTTTCATCCTAGTTTGGGAACCATCGGCAGTACGCACCCACTCGGATTCGAACCCAGAACCTTCCGGTTACAAGGCAAGCTCGTATACCATTCAGCCACTGGGACCCGATTCAATGGCTCGTGAATTCTAACTTCTACCAATTCGTGATTTAGCGCGACCCCAACAATTGTCGTAGGTGGGATCTCATCCTCACATGTGACGTCTGGATGGACCTGGCTGGTCACAACTTCTCACTAGAACTCAGGAAACTCCATCCTGTAGCAAGTCACTAGCGACAATGGATGGGGTCGCGCTAAATCACGAACTGGTAGAAGTTAGAATTCGTGAGCCATATATGCATACATATGAAGGCAAAAATTAAATGTAGTAGATTACATTGTCCAAAAAAATCTATTTAGAACTTAAAATATAAAATTAATATTTACAGTTGAAATGTATGATTAACAACGGTTTCCTTTTAGATATTTAAATTTGGTTTTAATCGTTTAATGGTAGTCACTTCAACGAGTCTAGGCAACCTGAGCACTGCCTTCAGCTTTAATTAACTTAAACGATTGTAATGCATCGATTTCATAACCGCCATCTAATAAGTAGTGAATTGTAAGATCATCGAAATCTTGCAATGATTGTCCGTATCAACTAGTTTGGATCGTAACTAGCTTTTCAATTCTCCACTTATCGATTTTGAGTCAATCGGTTGAATAAGTAGGTTCTCGAACTGGATTTCTGAATCGGTTCTAGCATATTTTAAATTTAAGACCGAGTGGCAGTGTTGCTTGTTCAAGTCTACTTAAAATGTAGGTTCAGTTTAGTATGCACAGATTACTTTTGATTATGAAGAACTATAAATAATGACACATAAAGTCCATCAACAACTGAATTTGTTCGGTACCGAAGACTGGATGGCTAGTTGGAAAAAATTAAACTGCGAAGAACTCTGGCGATGAGCTGCTGGAAAACCTATTTCTCAACCCATATGCAGAAGAAAATGGCGATGACGAGGGCTTCAAATGACACCACTTGCCAGGCAGGCAGCCGATTGGAGCTGGGTTGTGAAACGATTAGTTGGGTGTAGATCCGAGGGTGACAATGAGAACACCATGTGAGCAGGAAATGAGAGCCCTCAGGAAGTTGTAGGCCCAAATGAAAATGATGGTGGAGAGATGTGCAGCCATGGCAGTATATTCCATTGGGAATGCGAAGAATAAATAATAATAAATCATATATTCGAGGGAACGAAAGCTAATACTGGTTAGCCACAAACATTGATCGGGTATCTATTGAAAATAAATAGAACAGTTGAATTCAACGAAAAGCGAATAATATTCGAAAAACTGTTCTTTTATCAGACTTGGTGGACTCTGTTGGTTACGATTTCTCACCAGAACTCCAGATAACTTCCTGTATAGAGCCAGTAGCTAGTGAGCATCAGATTAATTATCGAGTGTTGGTTTGTGGAGTATAAAACTTGGTCAATGCGGCAGAGCATAACTCCATTATGGATAAGATTGTATTTTGATAAATCACACAGTGTTGTACAGTAACATTAACAGTTAACATTACTGTACAACACTGTGTGATTTATCAAAATACAATCTTATCCACATTGGTTTGTGGAGGTTTGACTGGTTACAGGTTTGATCATGAGTTGACATTAGGTAGAGAACCATTGGGAAACCTGAGAGCGCTGGATAGTTGTTTCGTCCTAGTTTTGAATTCCTTATTAGTGTGCACCCATTGGAGTTAGTAGTTAGGACCTTCCGGCTACAAGATAAACAAGTAGACCATTCAACCACTAGGATCTGATCCAGTGGTCTGTGAATCCCAACTCCTGCCAATCTACACGGATCTACGAAGTCTGATAAGAAAACAGTCACTGGCCTATGTGATTAACTGTCGGTTGCGCTTCAAATTTCACGGATTGGAAGAAGTCAGGAGGCATGAGCCACTGGATCGGGTCCCAGCGTTTGAATGGTCTACGAGCTCACCTTGTAACAGAAAGTCCTGGACTAGAACGTCGGCTGATGCCTACTGATGAAGAGTCCCAAACTAGAATGAAATAGCTATCCAGTACTCCCAGGTTGTCCAATGGTTGTCTGTCTGTAACCAATGAAACCCTTGCAAACCAACGCTTGATATACATACATACTCGGGGAAAAAGCAAAAATAGAAAACTTTTTTCAGTTTCCATGGTTCGGTGACGATTCGATGCATGTGCACCAGTGCACAGTGATTAGGATTCTCGCCGACCATGCACATGGTCCGAGGTTCGATCTCCTGCTGTATATATTGTATAGCAGACCTAGCAAGTTTTTATGACAGCTGCCTCAACTCTTCATTGACTTATACTTGCAATAATTTTTCGGGTAATCAATTTCGCTGTGAATGATTTAACTGTCGTCTGTGTTTCCGGCACATAATTGTCAGTTGTCGACTTAAATGGATCATTCACGAAGCCTTCAATGACACCACCTCTACATAATGATGGTGAATATCGGCTTCAACTATACTGTTTAAATAATGTCCGAAAACACTGGATAATATCTTTTATTTCTGATGAAGCTAACTGGTCATTCTTAAAGTCGTGCACGTAGTGGATCTTTAGACATTGAAGGTCGCAGGGGACTTGTTTTAACACTGCTCTAGGTTTCGGTTTTCAAATTTTGTAATGCACTATGAGTGATCAGGCGGCTGCCCGGATATTGTCTTTCAAGAATGCAGGGAAAAGTGCTGATGTAAGTAAGTTCAGTTTGCTTCTAACTGCCTGTAACAGGAAATGCGACGTCGCCGCCAAGAAGGTCAAGTGGAGCTGCGTAAGACCAAACGTGAAGAAACTCTACAGCGGAAAAGGAACTTCCCAGCAGCTGGTGACCCTGTGGATACAGAGGTTGAAGCAACAGGAAAGTCAGCTCTGTTAAACTTGGAAGCTATTGTTGCAAATGCTTCGAGTGAGGACCCTGCTGTCAGGCTTCTTGTTGTACAATCTGCCCGCAAGCTACTTTCAAGTGATCGGAATCCACCCATTGATGAGCTGATCAGTGCCGGCATGCTCCCTAAATTGGTGTCATGTCTAACAAGTGATGAGTGAGTTTTTATTTCATGTCTTGAATGTACTTAACATGTAGCTGATTATTAATTTGCAAATCTTGCCTTAAGTGTATGTTGTAGTTTGCCTAAACAATCGTCTTCTTGTCCTGGTTGGTTTTTGTAATAATTGGCTTGTCCGAGAATGTCCACATTTTTCTTAGTTTCATAATGTGCTTTATTAAGTAATATTGAAGACAAACTTCATTAACTCGACCAAACCCGATGTCATGTATATAAATCACCAGAGTTTTTTCTGAGTTTATTCGAAATGTGCATCAGGATATTATATGCAAAATTCTATTCAGTAAATGTGGTTCCGAATTAACTCTAGGTCATTTTGACGCAGCACACCCAGGTGGCATGCCAGGTACCTCTTATTTATTTCGACAAACGGTGGGGCAAAGTCCCCTTGGATCGATTTCGCCGACTTTCAAAAATACGGCCATTTCCATTACCAACTAAGGATTTTGCTTTTAAGTACTTTTCATACGAGTTCAGCAGGCTGTCAAGGATTCCGGGAGTAATATAGGCACTGACTTTGACCAAACGTGTCCCAAGATGTGAGTGTGCACTAGGGTTTTGCTACTCTTCTGTCCGATATGTTTGTAATGTACTAGCAGAGCAATGAAATCCACAACATTTAGCTTGAGTCACGTGGGATGGTGTAGGCTTCCTGGTTGTGGTCTTCGGGACGGTAAAAGCCAATGACTAGAGACAATTGGTGGTATGGCTCAAAATCGTTCTCATTGGCTGGCTCAGATGCATCCACTCCTTGTGAATTATAATACTCAATAAAACTATATTGTTCTCCAATATTACTATTCCTTTTGCGTCATATCTCTGCTTACTGTCTCTATTTTTCACTTCTGTTTACTTTCTTCTCTCGCTTTGTGTGCTACATGGAGTGTGGCGACTCGAACTGCTGCCCATCGGTGCAAAGTTCTGTGTTGTAGCCAGTCAGTCAATGTTAGCAGGGACAATTTACTGCAGTATTTTCGTATTTTTGGCAAATAAAGGTAGTTACCATGGAGTTCCACTTCGCAATGTTGTTTTAGGTGTTGCTTCAAGTCCTTGCACTAAGTAATTCAGATAGGAAGATTTCCAATAACCTATGATTCTTGATTGTGATGAAAATATCGTCGGCATTCAGAGCTTTGCAACTACACATGTCCACTCGTTTATCGGTGGCACTTCTCTGGTCAACAGTGCGTCCTTTATCCATAGCTCCTCATCACAGGGTCAATTTTCAAAGCACTTTAGACTTTCCTGAGACAGTTTATTTGCTCTTTGTTTGGTATTTCTGTGTTTTACAGTCCCAATCTTCAATTCGAGGCTGCTTGGGCGTTAACAAATATTGCATCTGGTACATCTTCACAGACCCTGGCTGTGGTTCACGCGGGAGCTGTTCCACTCTTCCTCAAGTTGCTGTCTTCTTCACATCCTAATGTGTGTGAACAAGCTGTTTGGGCACTGGGAAACATTATTGGGGACGGTCCTGTTTTACGCGACTACGTGATTCAACTGGATGTCATAAAGCCACTGCTGAAGCTGTTAACACCAAACATACCACTTAACTTCTTGCGCAATGTCACTTGGGTCATGGTTAACTTGTGTCGTAACAAAGATCCGCCTCCACCAGCTTCAGCTATCAGAGAACTTCTCCCGGCCCTTTTATATTTGATTAAGCATACTGATGACAGTGTAAGTTATTGTCTCTGGTATATATTGGAGTTATCTGAATACAGATGGTTTATTTCGCCTTAGTTTTGACCCAGTAATGTGTCGGCTTTTGGTGAATCAATCGGACAGCTACCACACTGTTTACTGCCATTTAACATCAGTTGGGATATGCTTTCGTTGCTTGCCACCGAAGTGTATGGCTTTGCGAAGTAGTGTTGAAATCGATACAGAAAATAATTTTGGAGTGTGTCACCATAGAATGTAGATAATGTATAGTGGGAAACTACTATGGCGTAAGGAACTGTTCTACGGAACATGGACGCAAACAGTTAGAAAGGTTTCCAATCTACGAAACCCTCACTTATGTTTTGCGAAGCAAGTCGTGATAATGGTCACGGTGTTAGGTGGTGAGCTCTGATATGTTATGAAAGGGCTAGGACATGTGTATAACCATCACTTCCCTTGACATACAAGGTCGACTGTAGTGGAATTTCCGTATTGGAAATAATGTTGAGGGGCGGAAAAAATCTATTTGAGGATCATTTGATCTCAAGCCTTACTTCACTGGTCTTCAGTATCATTTTGACCCGTTTAGTAAAATGTTTCTGAATACATATTAATTTTTGTGCTTGTTGGTCTGTTTTCAGATCCTTGTGGATACTGTGTGGGCTATATCCTATTTAACTGATGGAGGGAACGATCAGATAGAAATGGTAATTAATGCGGAGATCGTGCCTCATTTGGTTCCGTTGTTGTCACACTCGAGTTTCAAGGTGCAAACCGCTGCACTGCGTGCTGTTGGCAACATTGTTACGGGTTCGGACCAGCAAACACAAGTTGTTCTGGATTGTGGAGCTCTGAGTCATTTTCCTGCTTTGTTAACCCATCCAAGAGATAAGATAAACAAGGAGGCTGTGTGGTTTCTGTCCAACATAACTGCAGGAAACCAAAGTCAAGTACAAGCTGTAATTGATCACGGTCTAGTTCCACTCATTATTCATCATCTGTCCGAGAGTGAATTCCTAACACAGAAGGAAGCTGCATGGGCCATTTCTAATTTGACGATCAATGGAAATGCAGAACAGGTATGTAAATATCCGATTGTCTTAATAACAAAGTCTCATGTCAACTAAAAGCCGAAAGTTCATTCACTAGATTGTCTAAGGGACTGGATCCTGACTAAAACGGTGATTGAATACAGAGACACCACTTCCGACTAATACCATCTACGTGGTGCAGATGCCTCGTGGCTTATTCAGTCATTTCATATCAACCGACTTTGACCAACTCTAAAGTTGTGAGACAGAAATCTACTAACAATGAGGTAAAGCGGCAATAATTATTGGAACCGCTTATCCTTACCTCAGAGTACAACGGTGATGCATGATCACGAAATCGGAAGATGAACAGGCTACACTCTGGGGCGTGTTGGTAACTCAGAGAAGTGTAGTAGAAGAACCGGTAGTCGTTTTATGCGCTGGCTCCATCGCTCGGTCACACCGATGTGGTCAATTTGTGTTCAGACCTGAACGACAGAGAGGGGACACTATGGCGATGGTTGTGTTGTTTGAGAATGAGTTATTATTTTAAACCTTGACCACCTAGGTACCAAGGTCGCACTAACCGTAGGTTTCAAATCTGTGTATTCACATCTCTATCTAGCACGACAATATATTTTTGAGTGTGTTTATTTGGGTTGAGGTCAGTCTTGTTAAATGTGGATGGAGGTGGGTTGAAGGAAAGCCGCTGATTGACTGGTGAGTGACTTGAACCGACTCGTTGGGTTTTCAACGTAGGACAGTTGCACAAATGTGCAACAGTTCTTCAGGTCACCACACTGCATATAACACAGTGGTAAAGGCTATAAATGTTCATAGAACCGAAGTGAATGGAGATGTAGGGGAGAAGGAATAAATGCATGCAGAAAAATGAGAATTTGATGGATGTGGAAGTGCATAAAAAGTGATTGGAACTGCTCCAGCTGTACAAACTTGAACCATGTTACAAAAGTCTGCAGCCATTGATTTCTGGTCTGTGAAGTATCCCAGCTAGAAGGTATGTATCCTTCTACGTGATTCAAAGCAACAGTCAAGGTCTTCAAGGACTGAAGATATGTTTTGGTTTGACTATCAGTGGATCTTTTCCACCCTATTCCGAAGTCATCTATTATAAATGGAGAAGTAGGACGATGACGTCACATGGGTAACACTTGTCTCGATTACATGATCAAGTAATCTTTGGGGAGAATTAGAGGTAAGGGTATCAGGACTGTAATAGGACATGCGTTAATTATAATGAATTTACTAACTTCACACCTAGTTCAGGCAATTCGCGGTGTCGTGAAGTGAATGTTTCATGCTTTGAGGAAGCCAGGTTTTGATGAGTGCACCCGAGAGCACGTTGACTGTTTGTAAAAAAAGGCGTTGATTTTCAGTGTATGCGGAAAATGTGAAAGCTTTTTGTAGTCCGAATTATATTGTACTGATTCTTTTGTAGGTCAGATACGTCATCGATCAACGGGTTATCCCTCCACTTTGTAAAATGTTAAGTACAAGGGATGTACAAGTTGTTCAGGTTGTCTTAGATGGGATTTCTAACATATTGGCAGCAGCTGGTGACAATTTGGATCAAGTTACAACTGCGATTGAAGAGTGTGGTGGATTAGATCTTATTGAATCTCTTCAAGAGCATCAAAATATGGACATTTACCGCTTGGCATACGATATAATTGAACGCTATTTTAACGAAGGGGTACGTTTATTTTTGCGAGTGATATAATACCGTCATAACATAGTACAGTAAAATTTATTCATATATTAGAAATATCACATGGATTAACACTGTGTTTGTATAATCATTTGAAAGGAATCTGGAGCAGTGGCGACTAAAGCCTCACTGCGATTCTCCTCAGACAATCAGTTTTCGGAATGTTTCAATATCCACTTTATGATTGTCATCCACAGCTCTAGTTGACTCGAGTCCACTAGTCTCTGTGGTTGACTATTCAACGAGTTCTAAATCCAATTCCTGTGCTATCTGTTCGTATCCAGAAATCGAAATGCGTATTTAGCCCTTATAAAAACTGGTTTATTGAATAAGGCTCGAAGATGCATTACTCACTTCAGGTCTTTACTGGTTATGTGTTCTCTCTTTTACGTCTTCAAATTCAAAAGTCAAACGTCTCAGTTATTATAAACCGTGTTTGTCAGTAAAGAAGGGTAAGTCTGAGTCATCGGGTAGACGGGGCATGGTGGATTTACGCTATATAAGTATCAGCGTTTTCTAGCGTATTGTAAGTGCTGAACCAATGGCACATGCCGGCTGTCGTGTCAGTCTTTGAGGGCTTGCTAGAAGGCTGATGCAATCAAGTCAAAACTCTAACTGATAAACACTGGTAGTTGAGTGCGTTTTGTGTACATTTGCTTAGATGAATTCCGGTATGACAGTCATTTTTTATGCATCCTGTTGAAGTTTACATTAAATCACTTTTGGAGCAATTCTTGGTTAAATAGAAACTGATAATTGAGTTAACTGTAAGTCGTAATGCCTGCACATTTTATTTTTTCCAGATGATTGATGACTCCAATACAGCATCTGGAGTTGCAGAAGGTGAACATTTGGGAAATTTCATCTCACAAGTTCCAACCACTTTCCAATTTGATGCCGATCAATGCAACACTGATACTACCGGAGGATTTGACTTTTAGCTACTAATATTGATCATTTTGCGTCATGAATAGTAGAACCCGTGGATGACCAAAAACTTAGGTTATTTCCTTCGTAATATATAATCACAATATTTTGACTTATCATCTGTAGTTTACATTATACTCTGCATTATATATGGCTCAAATTACTATTTTGATATGCTCCGTCCTTCAACAGAATTCCGCTTGTTTTATTACCCTTAACGTCGCTTTTTTGTCAACTTCATGGCAATTTTATTTTCCTTAACAGGTATACAATGTTCATATTTTCATACATTATTATCTGGTAGTCTCTCAGCTAGCCCTAGTTGAATGATTAATACTGATCGGACAACCGCCCCATTCTATTCTGCATTTATTATTAACCGTCCGTGCGGTTGTGGCCCTAATTATTTCATTCCTTCGAGTTATCTCACTAACTGAGACTTTTCGCTCTACTGGGTAACTCAGTTTTGTATCTCGAATTTTGCCCCAAGGTCGCTCCCCACTTATTACGTTGTTTGTTCCCCAGAATTTTTCTTGAATTCATTTTTTGTATGTCTGTATAAAGCTTTATGATTGCCTTGGCTGTTTGCCTATTCCTATTTGTTTATTCATTCATCATTGCCCGAATTTATTTCGTCTATTTTTGTTTACAGCATTAGCATGTCTTCCTAGTGTTTTCATTTTCAGCTTGGTTTAATAATACTGGCTATTTGAGTAGACCTTCCAGTCAGTCTAGGCCTTGCCTTCAGTTTTATTTCCGACCAATCAGATTTTGAACTTTTCCTGGTGTGACTGCGTTACTTTATGTTTTGCCTCTGTCTTTCGGTATTGCAATACCCATTTGCCTTTTTCTGTAGACTCTTATTCTTTAGGTCTTCCGCCTTGTTCATTTTGAAACTTCTGTATATTTGTGGCATGCCTGTGATCTTAAAAGGTTATGTTTGGTTTTATTTTACCCTCTGTTTTAGTCAATAATCCTTATTATTTTTTATTTGGTCTGTTTTGTGCTTTCGTCTTTATATTTTTTGTGTCAACGAAATAAGATTTGTTTTCCGGTTTTAACTGCTGTCTTCTGTAAATATCTTCTATTTTGTTCCCAAGTTTTATTTATTTCTCGACTTTTACAATTTAGTTTTTGGTTTTAGCCGGGCGGTTGTGTTGTATCATTGTAGCCATTTGATTTCTTTATTTGCTTTGTATTTCCTGTACGGTTCTTCTAAGAAGTGATCACCTGTACCCTAATTTTTAATAACTATATCTATCGAACCACAGATAACTACATCGGAACCTCCTATGCACTTGGTTTTCTGTCTTAGTTCCTTAATAATGGCTTTAATATTCAATGAGATCACCAAAACTTCATGTTTGCATTCTCTTCCGTTGGACAGTTGATTCAAAAATACACGTGTGTAATTGTGAATCTTTCATGTTTTGCTTGCTGAATTTCCTAGCGTTGTGATCTTCATATTTTCTGGAGTAATTTGTTTCAGTGCAATACGTGTCTATGTAACTTTAATAAATCCTCCTTTATCCACTTCCTCAGAAACTACTGTTATGATGGGGCCTTTCAGTGAAAATTGCCTCTTCAATATTTGGTCCTCATATGCTCATGCCATCTTGCCGTGGTGCCTCCGTATCAGATTCTCGCTACTTCACTTAGAAATGGTAATTTTACCTTCAGCAAAGGGTTGTAACCTAATCGTCTATTAAAAAGTACCAATAACTGCATTTCTCGCAGCATTTCAAGTAGTCCTAGACACCAGTATCTGGGTGAGCGTCTTTTCACTTTTTGAGGAAAGAAACCTATTTTCTTATTAGTTCATAAAATACTTGTATCAAACGAGGACATTATCATGTGTATGGACTCCCAGGGCTAATATTAAACGTCATTGGGAAGCTTCCCAAATTTAGGACGTGACCAACTATGTATTGAATGGAACTACCTCAGGTTGTTTTATGTCGGTATGATGTAAATTTCCAATATAGATGATGTATAATTAGGAAGTCTTGTGATCGGCTGTTATGTTGCTGGTCTTCTTCACCTCGGTTTAAATATAACTCCATACGTTGTGAAGAGATTTACTGTAAATATGGAGCAACTGGACGCTGTCGTTAATTAGGGAGCGACAGAAGTTTACTAGTGTTGGCAAGTGCGATTGCGGGCAGTGTTGACAAAACATACTGAAGTTTGTGCTTCTGAGAAGCTGGTTTGTCTACAGTGTTCATTAGTGGTCGATCCGAATGCGCATGACGAGCTATTCGGTTTACCTATGTAAATCTGAGGAGTTCGGCCACAAGCACACGAAACGTTATTTAATATTACGGACTGAGTGAATTTATTTACAAAGAGATTATTCAAGAGTAACAGCATTTAACAGTGGCAGCTGAATACAGAAAGTATCGTACAGCTGAATTGCTATCGAAGCTCTTGTCAAACATAACATAACAATTCGCTTTATTCCAGAAACAGTACTTGTGGTACAGTGTGGAATTTTCAGCACATATCTACAATATTGCATCTAATTTCATCGTACATTTAAAAGGAGTATTATAAAAAAAATAAAATATAAAAAAACCAAAAAAAAGAAACAGAAATAACCAAAAAAAAGATGCAAATAAAAATACTGAGTAAAAAAAGAAGATCAACACAAATAATGAAAAAAAATATTTCAGTATTAGTTAGTGGAAGCTACGATATGTGTATGCGTGGTGAACAGTAACAGCTATAATCATACGGGAAATTATGAGATGTTCTTAAAAAAATGTTTATAGCCAAGATGATCAGTTAATTTGATTGAACAACACTAAGCAATCATAAGATAAACATTTCAGGGTTTTTTTTGTCAGTACTAATGCGGTTGTTTGTAGTGGCAGGACTGTATAGGAAGGTTTATGTAGAATTAGATGAATATGAAGTTATTTCGTTTTAATATCCCGGTGTAATCAGGTATTATTGACAGAAAATCCTGGCTGTTGGTACTTACTCGCTTAACCGGGTTCTTTACCTTCTCCCGCCATTATTTATGCGTAAATCGCTAAGTGCCGAACTCAAAGGCTATCGCTATGTAATAAGTACCTCCTGCAGAACAGTGCCAAGAGTATTAGTTATTCACTGAAAGGTAGTCAGTGCGGTTGCAAAATGTTATTAGTAGGCTGGTTGATATTTACAAACAGTTAATTTTCTGCACTTTAATTTTTTAACACGATGCTATTTGTTTGAAAAAATGCTATTCTCTTATATATTTTACAGTATTCCGCATCATTAAAATGCCAACTTATTGTGGAAGTTTTGGAATTGCAATTGACGAACGTGATGTGTCACATACCGTCTTTAGCAGCCACTATTTGATTTCGAGTTCTTCATCACTGTACATGAAGTTTAAGAATGTATCACTTAAGAGTTAGTGTACGACAGCGTGTGCAGATAGACTGATAAAAATGTATTCAGCCTGTGTGGAATCTAAAAGAGAGGAAAATGTGTCCTAATAACGTTCAGTACCTCCTATATGGTTGCAAGTCAGATAATGGGGGTGGCCTTCTGAAGCATTGTGGAAATCACCAACTATTTCTAGCCAGCACAGTCACTGCCTTAGTGATACCTAGTGTAGGGAAGCTCCTACAGTCTTATGGCAGCTAGGGACATCTGGGACCCTGTGTAGAATCCTAAATAAAGCATAAATTCCGGTGGCGTTTAAGCTTACAAACTGAATCAAGAATTAGTTCTGTGGGTTAAATAACACAATTGATCCAACTAGACGAAGTAGCCTCTAATAATTGTGAGCTCATACTAGTAAACTGGATTTAGTCAGGTTATCGGCATAGGTATATGTAGAATGATTGGCCCCAGGTAAGATGAATAACTTGGAGGAAAATCCATCAAATGCGGTGTATGCACTATGACAGTAGGCTGGCACCGAACTGCAGTTAGGTGGAGGTAGACGTCGGCTACTGCATCTTCTTTGATCGAATCTGCAGCTAGCACGTGCTATAGGAATGAGAGGAAGCCGAAATCAAAGATAAGAAGCAATAGAGTTTTACGAACAGATGTGAAGGTTATGTGAGAGCCTTAATTATGAGCTACAAGATGTGTTCGGCATGTTATTATTACGTAACTAATACTGTATGTTTTGTGGAGTAAAATTATTGTGATAGAATTACACTTATACCACGGTGCCCAAATTCTATTTTTATAACTCAGACAGCTATTTTCCGTTCTTAAGGAAAATACAGTAATGACAGTCATAGTTTTTGCCTCAGTCGGAATTGTGATTAATCCACTAAATTAATATATACTCTTGCTGGAATAATTTACTTCCAAATCAAGTTTCACAGCTGTACTAATTTAACCATCTTTAAAATGCAGAAAACACGAAAGGCGATAATGTGTCTTGGAGTACAAAGTCATAGAAACTGTGTCACTGCCTCTTTCAACGTGTAATGTTAAGTGATATCGAATTGTTCTTGCAAACAATATTAAGGGCAGACGAATCAGTAAATGGCATCAATCCATAATGTCTTCGACTGTTGATTTGAGCTAATTAGGCAGGTTAAATGAACTAAATGGCTATGGTGAGTGACTTGGCTGAAAATCGTTTTTTAGTAGTGAAGATTTATTTACTGCTTCTAACCTCTCCAACAATCTTCACTTGATTATCTTCTCCCCGTACATTTTCATACAGTATAACTTCATGAAATTTTTTGAAATTGTAGCATGTTTAACAGTTTTCAATATTTCCCAGAGTTTAATTTTCATGAGTTCGTCAGTTAAATTCATGAATACTATTGTAACAACTGATATAAGGATGAAACTTGGATATTATTGTAGAGTATAACTCCATTATAGACAAAGTTTTCGCCACACATAAACTCACCAGTAAAGGGAATAAAATTCACATTGAATCGGAAAATTAAGGGGAATTAGCTAAGTTAGATTGTAAAATAAAACGAACAGAAGAAGGTAAACTGCACACTAGCGCTCATAAAAAACCAACGTATTCTAATAGATTCTTAGACTTTAATTCATCTCATCCATCGTTGTCTGTAAAGGCAGGATTAGTTAAGTGTCTAACAAACCGAGAATATCTAAATGACGAAATAAAACAGATAGAAGTGTTGGTACCAAATAACTATCCTATAAAATAATGATAACACAAATAAGAGAGAATATAAGGCATCTACAGTCCTATGATCATATAAGGAGGGGACATCTGAGGCCCTAGGTAGGATTCTCAATAAAGCAGGAATTAGGGTGGCATTTAGACCTACAAACCCACTCAGAAACAAGCTCTGTAGGCTAAAGGACTCGGTGGATCCAATTAAAGAAAATAATATAATTTACAAAATACCTTGCAATGACTGTGAGTTAAGTCAACTACATAGGTCAAACTAGTAAGTAGATCATGAGTAGTGAGATTGAATAAAGCGAGAACAACATTGATTTATGCAGAATAACATGGTACCATCATTTATTTCGTTGGCTTCTCGTCAGCTGCTTACAGCCTAAATAAATTTTCAGGTTTAAGTACAGAAACGTTTTAACATACTTGCAAATTTTACATGTCAGTTGACAGAAAGTTTCACAATTAGTAAACAGTGCTCAGAAAATTGCGCTTATATAGTTTTTACACAGGTAGTTCAAGTTAAAAAAAAATAATAAATAAATGTATGCATATAATAAAGATGGGATGTGCGTTGGATGCATAGTGACTAATAAGTTACGTAACAATGTACTGAGTTGAACTCAAATCATAGAAACAAGAGACAAGCAAAATTACAGAATATAAAAGAGGGTGAGGTTAAAAACAAAGATTGCGCAGTCAGATGAAAGAAAACAAAGACATCCAGTTACCAAGGCAAGGAAAGACTAATAACAGATTCTTTCTGAACACATAGATCTGGTTTCAAGCGTTGGATAGAAATTGCTCGATTTCCACCTCATGACCCGTATCGAGGAGATGTCTGGTAATAGCGCTGCTATAAGAGTTTGTTCCCTTGAGACGTAGGCTTTTCGGCACATGTTCAGAAAATCGGAGTTGTGCCCTTCTTTCTGTTCTCCCAATGTAACTGCTCCCGCAGATACACGTAAATTTGTATACATAGTTGGAGTTAACATGAGAAGGGTATCTATCGACTTTTGACTGCACGAAAGAGCATGTTGTTCGATGGACGGGAACCAACTTAGGTGCAGGATAGGCTCTGGCTAGTGATGTCCTCAGTCTTCTGTTGACCATTTCTGCAATGTCTTCACCTTTAAAGTCTAGTTGAATGAAGACAGGCTTTTTTTCGACTGTGATTAGTTTGGTATTTGGACCTTCACATCTTCCATATTTGTTAATGAATTTTTGAGTATAGCGGTTGTTTTTCAGCACCTTTTTGAGAGAAACTAGAAGAAGAATTCACGAATCTCGATTTGAGTTCAACTCAGTACATTGTTACGTAACTTATTAGTCACTATGCATCCAACGCACATCCCATCTTTATTATATGCATACATTTATTTATTATTTTTTTTTAACTTGAACTACCTGTGTAAAAACTATATAAGCGCAATTTTCTGAGCACTGTTCACTAATTGTGAAACTTTCTGTCAACTGACAACATGTAAAATTTGCAAGTATGTTAAAACGTTTCTGTACTTAAACCTGAAAATTTATTTAGGCTGTAAGCAGCTGACGAGAAGCCAACGAAATAAATGATGGTACCATGTTATTCTGCATAAATCAATGTTGTTCTCGCTTTATTCAAATTTATCAAGGGCAATAAATGCATGAAGTAGTGAGATTGTTTGTCAGAACATAAGAATTTAGCTAGGGTTAAACTGCTTGATCCTACGAAGATAGGTAATTCGGAAAAAAGCTCAGCAATAACACTGCATGCATTAACACACAATAGGGTGGGTAGGATAGAGTCGAAATTCCCAAAAGTAGTGTAGGTAGGTGGAAAGAGATTGATTACTGTATCCTGGTTCATCGAGTCTACACCCAACACATGCAACAGAAATGAATCAACGCAAATACCAGAGATATGGAAGATATTATTACCAGTCAAATTAGAGGATGATAAATAATATTAACATGTATTGAATTCACATTACAACATTCTAGCAAGTTATTTATTTTTACAATGAAAACATCTTACTTCCCATCTTGTTGTTTCTCGTTGGATTTCCGAACATCACCCTTCGTGGTTAAGTAAAGGACAAACAAAATTCATTCGTAGCGCTGTTCTAACTCATCTTGTGGATACG